TTAAACATACAGAGTATTACAGCAGTTATAGTGATTAATTAACTATCCTTAAACATACAGAGTATTACAGCAGTTATAGTGATTAATTAACTATCCTTAAACATACAGAGTATTACAGTATAGTCATACTGATTAATTAACTATTCTTAAACATACAGAGTATTACAGTATAGTCATACTGATTAATTAACTATCCTTAAACATACAGAGTATTAATGTATAGTCATATTTTAATTAATTACACATAAATAGTATTACTGTGTGTTCATATTTTAATTAATCACTTATGTAACACAACCAAAGTACATTGTTGGATACATTTTTGTCATAAGTCTAAAAATACCTCACGAGGTTTGGCCAGTTTTCAAGATTTAGATTAGTCTTAATTAAAAAATCCAGATCCCATACTTGACTAATTTGTTCCTTTGTCCTAAATCAATATACCAAATTAACAAAGCAAAATCATTTCTACAATAACAGTGCATATATTAAAAATCCTAAACAGTACTGTTAATGAAGGTAACCTTAAAGAAAAAGTTTACTCTGCTTATGGAACACATAAACACTAGTCTTAGCTCCAAGTACTGTCATAGATTTAATGCCTTTTAAACTACTTAACATCAGTATAAACTGTGTATAAGCAAAAACTTTAAACAATCCTCCCTAACATCTTGTGTAAAAACGAAAGTCCATTAGACGGAAACCCAATATAACATTAGTGCAGCCCGACATTCGAGATAAATAAATATCTTTATTTTTAACTTATACATAAACATTGAAAACCTCTGTTTTTCTTATAAAAAATGCATAAAACCCCAAAACTGCCTTTAAGTTATAAAATTAAAAACCTGTAACTGCTTTGGTTATTACCCTTTGCTGAATATCTACTAAGTTCCAAGTGTTTTGAAAGTTCCTGATGTCTGCATAGCTCAGCAATGCATCCTCTTCATTGGAGTAAAACAAGGAGAAATTCTCCATAATAATGGCTGTTGGGAAAATTCATGTAAGTTGCAATGACCATGCAGCCCAACCAAGAGTAGCAATGAAAATCTTCCAATCATCAATTAAAATACATAGAAATAAACAAAATAAGCTAAACTTTAATGTTTTTTTACCTTCAAAGTGTTAGATAGATCTTAAAATTTTTTTTATAGAGTATGTCACTGGATACATTCAATATACTTGCTCACTAAAGCACAGTTGTGATATACAGAAATTATACATTTGTATACACAAGTTAACATGACACTTTGGTAAAGTCATAGACGATATAGTATCACATTCTTTTTTTTTATCTTCTTTTCACTGCTTTAACGAAACTTACAAGTTGGAGGTTACAATTAACAAAATTGGGATATATTTTACAATCCAATTCAAATTCTAATGATGTCAGCTAGTTTCACATCAATCATACAAATAAACTGTTTAAATTTTTAACCATGAATAGGCACTACTTTAAAGTTTCTAATATCTATATAACACCATAATTTTTTTCTTCTTTTTTACTAAGAAAAAGTTCAGAAGTGGCATAAATATATTATTCCTTACATTCTACTGTCTAGATTTTATTTGAATCAAATTTAAAAATCTCTTTTATAAGAACAATAGGATTCACTACTGGTTAAGTTTTTAGCCAATCTAACATGTAATGAATTGCTTAGTGGTGTTCGAAAATGCATTAAAAAAAAGTTCATATTATGTTATCAAATACAACATATGTATAACTGAACAGAAATTTTGGAAACATAATTAGCCGGTGATGGAATGTAGCAAAACATCTTACCATACAAAAATTACTAACAGTCTGAAGAGATCTTGTAAAACTCACCAACCAAAAGGTTTAAGACAATGTAGGTAATAATCACATAGAAGGTACAGAAATAAATCAGACTTCCAGTAAAGTTGCCACAGTCAGTTTCCCAGTAGTTCTCACCAGGTGTACAGTATGGCTGTCCAATCTGATAGAAAACAGCTAACTTTTTAAATCTCATACTTAAAATTTCTGTCTCCTTAACTAAATGAAGTCAAAGTCAAGTTATTAAGAACTAATCTTTCTTTCTACCAATGTTCTTAGGACATCATGATAAAAACAATAACACTTTAAAAATTATTCTCAACTGGGCTAACTGTGGATTAAGTTACGAAAGGTGCGAGTTAACATTACAATCAAACCTGAACTATTGTAAGCCACTGACGATAAGTACTTTCATTCAATACTACTATCTCGCTAGGCCAGACAAACTGAATTATAATGGCCAAAGGCTAAGGCTTAGCTGAAATGCTGCCTACATCAGTCATTTATACATATACGAGTAAACTGTGTAACACACAACAGTTAAATATACTGATTAGACAAGAAGTATGAAGAACCGTTAGAATAACTTTGATAATAACTTTCCTTCATCACAAAAAAACCAATCGTGTTTCACTAACTCTGGCATTACACACCCTACGCTAATGGGTTTTATTTTCTAGAAGAAGCTGAAATAACAATGTTTATCTAATGATTTTAAACCAAATGTGGAAGTTTATTAAACAATACATATTTCAGTACTAAATATTTTTAACTTAGACAAAATACTTATGCCTAGATAACAATATTAAACATGGTCCTAATTGTTTCTTTTTAAAACTTACTTGCAAATAGGAACATTTCTTACACTAAATATTACAATGGTCCTTTTACACTGTCATTAATTCTTATTTTCTTATCCTGAGAAAACTTTGTTTAAGAAAAAACTTCACTAAAAAAGTCGCATCAGTTGGGTCTAAAATAACCAGTTAACAATGTAGATTACGATTCTTACTGGATCATCATCAGATAAGTTGGGTTATTGGATTCATCTAACTATTCCATTATGTGGAATGAAGAATTGGGGGGGGGATGATTATCACTAAGTTAAAACCCACATACTAGTCTTTCAGCTACTTATGTTCGGTCTATAGGGAATAACGAATACATGAAAAATCAATTCTAATTTGACAAAATATTGAATCATATTAGTACAGTTAGGTTTAGTAAAGTTTGTTCGTTTAGTTTTTTAAGCACAAAGCTACTCAATGGGCTAGATACACACACACACATATATATATGATTAATAATTACTGTTTTACTTTTATTCAATAATCTTATAAATTAATTTTTTTTGTACACTTGAAATTAAAGTTTCATAGGGTTCAGACTTCATTATCGATAGTTTGTTTGTTTTGGAATTTCGCGCAAAGCTACACGAGGGCTATCTGCGCTAGCCGTCCCTAATTTAGCAGTGTAAGACTAGAGGGAAGGCAGCTAGTCATCACCACCCACCGCCAACTCTTGGGCTACTCTTTTACCAACGAATAGTGGGATTGACTGTCACATTATAACGCTCCCACGGCTGAAAGGGTGAGCATGTTTGGTGAGATGCGGATTCGAACCTGCGACCCTCAGATTGTGAGTCGAGCGCCTTATCCACCTGGCCATACCGGGCCATTATCGATAGAAGCTAGTATACTTATAAGAAAACCAAGAGTAAGTACAGAGAAAATAAGACTTCAGAAAATCATTTAACCAAATAAAATGCATTTCCTCTCCATACCATGCAGTCATGCATGATCTTGTTCCAATCTTCTCCCGTTACGATCCGAAACAACATGGCAATACCACTTGGTGCTGTTCGGAAATTCGCCTGTCTACAGAATTCACGTTAGGAAATATAAAAAAATGGTATTAAAAACAAAAGTCCACTAGAATATGACAGTTTTATAAAGTTCATGTTTTAATGACAGTTACTTCCCCTGATTTAGAAGTTTTGGTGGTTTATCCATTTGTTATTATACCTATACACAACATAAAATATCAAATTAAAATTTATCAAATACATAATTTAAGTTTTAATCATGGAAGAAAAGAAATGACTTTACACAAATTGCTTTCTTTTTTTTTTTTTACTTAGGAATAACATGTGATTTCTCAGTTTCATAATTACCAAGTGAAATGAAAAAAATAAAGACAGTAAAAGATGTTTGTTCTAAAACACCCACTAAATCATGTGACTCCAGCTTTAAAATCTTCATTAAACACCTTTCAAAATTTATGAGAATCACACAAAATGATACCCAAACAACCTGATTATTGAAGAAGTTAGTAACAGTGGCTATCGAAGATTATAGAGGAGTATATACAATCAATACAAAAGTACTATTAACTATATAATTGTCTTTTTTTTTTTTTACTCAAAACTAGTCATTATGCTCATATTTCAAACTTTACCTGCCAATGTTTTCGCCAAATTTAACTGTGCCAAACAAAATGACACCAGTCAAAGCATAAAACAGGATAAGCAGGAACATCCCCATGATTATAAAGAAACTTTTATACACGGACACCACCACTGTTAACATCAACATCTTCAGGGTAGCCTTAGGTAAATAAAGAAATAATATCTATTTAATAATGCCTAAAAAACATTATTCAAACACAGTTTGTTTGTTTTCAAGAAAGTTAACCCAGTTAAACTATAACATCAAAAAACGATCCATTAAGAAATAAGATAAAAAAATTAACAAGAATACAACAGCTTTATCAGGTTCATGTTTTAACGATAGTTCCCCCCCCCCCCAACACAAAAATTTAGAAGTTTTTTTGGTTTACCTATCTGTTTTTATACCTGTATACAACTTTAAATATCAAATTCGAATTTATTAAATCACATAAATCCAACAGTTAATAATGTATAGACTTAGCTAGAAAATAAATTTATAAATAAATATTTGTTCATTTTCAAAACTAAGTAAACATTTTTGATTTTGATTTTTCTTGGAGTGTTGTATTTTACATTGTTTTTTTTTACACTATACAAGGTACAACTGAGCAAGGGACTTTATATATATAGGTCCATATGTACTATAGAATCATAGATATAAAAATAGTGTTTACACGTTGATCTTTCTCAATTAGACGAAACAGAACAGTACAGCAACAGCACAAAATATTTATTTATTTAAATAGATATATATATTTTTAAAAGAACAACTTCATATTTGATCTGTCTGTTCATAGATAATAAGTTGAAACTGGCCTATTCATGAATGGATCACAAAACAGAAGTTATGAATTATTAAGAGCAATCATAGCCATTGCATCTTGAGATGTGTACAGCTACTAATACACCTTGATATACACAGAATGTTTTTATGAACATACACCTTCCTTCTAAATACACTGTGTATTTTACAAATGGGGAAAACTATTTTAAAAAATAATAGATCTAAATCCTTTAAAAAAAGAACGTGAAAACACTTCTCAACAACTTACGTGTTTTCCAGTGATGGTGAAAAACCGCAGAATAACGACTACGAATCCAAAGGAGTTACTGAAGTCATTCTGTGGGTTCAAAAGATGTTCATAAGAATTCTGGCCAGGGAATAACTTGTTAGTATTTTATACAAGAAGTCTACCACAAAAAAAAAAGGGTTGGCAATTATAACCCAACTTTCATAACAATAAAATTGTGTGCCACAAATATAATGTTGACTTATACGTGTCTTATCTGAAATAACATTTATCTGACAAGTTTTTCAATTCAGTAAAATCTAGGTTACCCTAAAGTTTTCATAAGCAGTTACAAAATGGAATTTGGTAGATTGGCTTCGGTTGTATATAATTATGTCAACCCAAAGGACTCAAAAATACATCAGTATACATATAAATACATTCAAACCTGTATCAACAATTAGTCGTAAAATTCTGAAGGGAAATGGATGTTTCTAGCATAAAATAAACTAGTTTATCTGTTACTACGGGTCACTGCTACTGGCACATCACTCTTTTGATCATCGTTACGCAACGAAATGAAATATCAAGTTTCTCACCTTTTGTTGACTTGCCCTAAAGTTGAGTACACCTTTTAAAGGATATATTCAGTATTCTTGAATGTATGACATATCTTTTATACATACAACCAAAGAAACACACTTACAATCCACATTAAATACACTTAGTGGACAATGGCTACAAAGATGACCAATTATATAATTCTAATGTAACTATTGATAACAAGATTACCAACAATAAAATCTCATGTAACTATTTATAATAATATTATCAACAATAAAACTCCAATGTAACTATTTATGATAAAATTACCAACAATAAAACTCCAATGTAACTATTGATAACAAGATTACCAACAATAAAATCCCATGTAACTATTTATAATAATATTATCAACAATAAAATTCTAATGTAACTATTTATAATAAGATTACCAACAATAAAACTCCAATGTAACTATTTATAATAAGATCACCAACAATAAAACTCTAATGTAACTATTTATAACAATATTACCAACCATAAAATTCTAATGCAACTATTAATGACAATATTACCAACAATAAAACTACTAATGTAGCTACTTACAACAACAGGACCAATCATAAATCTTTTACTTCCTTTAGTAATATTGAGAGAAGGTTATATGTAATAATTAGCTATATTTCATTTAGATATTACAGATATAACTTCTGTGTATGATACCACAATATAATTAAACGCAACTCTGTTTTTTATGCACAGATTAGCATTAATAACTAACAATAATAACATAAAATGTGTGAAATCAATTAATAACACAATGCTGATTTCCTTACAAAATTCTTCATTTACCTACCATCAACATGAAATGCATTATCACCCAGACAACTCCCAAGCAGGTGACAAACAGGTCATAACGATTTCGTCGACTCTGCCAGTATCCTCTTGGTGTGAAAGCGATACTTTTCATTATGACCTGGACATATGATGATACATTTTTTAAAGCAGTTCAACAACAGAACAATGCATTTGGATAGTGATTATGGTTATCGTAGATCAGACAGTGAATAGTTTTCTCCATCTAAGTTAGACACTGTTCTTAAACTCTTCTATGAAATTCAAAGCTAAAACTAGATTTTCCTGTACAAAGACAATACAGTTATGATCTTAAACACATCGATATAAATGGATATACCATCACTTATGATACTTCAGAGATAAATATCAATTGTACAAACTTGTGAGTGCAAGTAAAGAAGAGTGTATAATAACGTCTGCTATATCCAGTGCTGATGAGGCCTTTACTTGTGGTCTTCAGGCCAACTGGGATTAGAGATGGGTGATTAGTGGTATCCGCTAATCACCGAACTAACAATCCCATTAATTGATTCATACAGTGTTCCACAAATCATGGTATGTACCAGCAAAAAGGAAAAAAAATTTGGCAAATGCCTTCCCTCTAGCCAGCAGACCCTTGATTCATTAG